TCAAAAATATGCAAATAGTAAGTTCAGAAACATTGAAGGTTTTTTACAATCTACATTTACTCCTTTATAAATTATCTCAACTCTAAGGTATTCCAGCACAGAGGTTTAGAGGGTGGGCAGGGGGGACAGATAGCCTGGATTCAATTCCTGTCCAGCCACCTACTGGCTGTGTGGCCTCAGGCAAGTTACTTAGACTCTGCGGATCAGCATCCTCATTTGACAAAGGGAGGCAACAACTACAGCACCTTCCTCAGAGGATCCTGGTAAGTATTAAGGTTATAATACACATAACCACTTATTGGCACATAGTTAAGTATTCGGTAAGTGTTAGCTACCATCGCCATCATCATTATTAAGGATTAACTGATATATTTCAAGGTTATCACTATACATAACTTAAGGGTATTTCTATAATACTCATTTGACCTGCCAATAAACTACAATCTGAATTAAAATAATAAGTTGCTAAGTGATACAATAATTCCTCTACTCCCCACAAGAATATGTGGCCACAGTAGGGCTAGTATTTAAAACTTCTTAGGACCAACTGCTTGTAATTGTACCTCAGTTTTAACTTTTACCTAATGAAAGACAAGTATGTACTTTGCTACAAGGCAATCCATTAAAAAATCTGCAAGTTATTTAACTGATATTTCTGTGGTGTTACTGAAGAACTCATTAGACAGTTGCACCTTAATATTCTGTAACAGATTCTAGAAAAATCTAAAAATACCATTTATATAAATCTGATAGGAAGAAACAGAAATAGAGAAGACACTGAATTAGAGAAAACTATTTATAATTTTGGGTATAAATGAAAAATCCTTTTGATATTTCTTTTTTTCTTTTTTCTTTTCTTGGTTGCTTGGTTGCTAGGTTGGTAACACTGCGATTTGAATGCTGCATCAACACCATTTAATACGCCTGTGGATCTTGGTGTCTTGATGACAACAGAGAAAGTCTTGTCTGTGCTTTAAAAACACTCAAGTTGCTTCTCTCCTAGGGAATCCACATCTGATCTCCCAGCTCTGCCATTTTGAAATATCATATGTCACCAGAAGACTCCAGGATAGACTGCCTAAGACTGCCCATCCTCGCACAAGGCAGAGGAAGGAGAGAAAATAATGTGTAATAAAATAGCTCTCCTGGTAACAGGAAAACTAAACTGACATCAGAATTGGGACAAAGCTGTGCTGACATCACAAGTTTGGCTCAATACCTAGTGCTCTCTCAACTTATTTAGGCCATCCCCACAACCTCACATCCCTCGCGAGGTGTACCAAAACCCAAATGTTTTTCCATATGCTCCTTTTTCTTACAACACCAAGCCATCTTTTCATTTACGTTGATAATATACTGCAAAAAAAGTCCCAGGGAAGGGATGCCTGGAGATATGTCCTTAAATAAATCTCTGAAATTTCCCAAGAATCACAGTCTCAACTTTGAATGACAAAATTCTGTACCTAAATAAATAATTTTCTATGAAAAGATCAGAAATCTTTAAAATCCTGTAAAACCCTGAGTAGGTCAAATATTTTTTCAAATATTACATTTTTTTCCTTTGCTGTAACAAAATTAATATTTAATAAGAATCATCCATTTTTTTATAGGGTCTAAGAATTCTTTTGGTTCATTTTAAGCCACATCTTTCACGGTTAGAATTTTCTGGTTCAGTTGGAAATATTTTTCAGAAGTCTGAACATACAGTTCAACTAATTATTCTGAAATGTGTGCATGTGGGAAGAATTTTTTGCTTACAAGATCCTTCAATAATTCATATATTTAAATCATCATTTCCAAAGCAAATTTTCCAAAATCAAATAAATTGCAAAACTACAAGTAAACTAAGTCTCTAAAAAGGAGTTCCAATCCTCTGCCAAACAGACCTCAAATTCTTAATCCCTTGTCCAAAAAAATTGGACCAAGTATTGACGTTTTCCACCAAGCAAGCCACATAGCCACAAATGTTTCTCATTTACTCCACTCCTGGGACATACAGCTCAAATAAAAAATTTCCTGAATACCCCAAATTTCAGATACAATTTGGAATGTAAGTGATTCATAATGTTATGCAGGAAACATTATGATCTTCTCCTACCAACTCAGTGTTTCTGGAATGCAACCCTCAGGAGATTATCCCAACGAATCAGAAGGCTGACATCACCGTCAGCCTTGTGACCCAACTATTATGTCCTCTTGCCCCTAGCTCAGATGTGATTTTGAACCCTGAATGCTCTGCTACTCCAGCTACCGTTCAAGTAAAACAGACGTTCCACCAAGGGAGCTAACAAAGATCCATACTGTGCTCCGTGGCAAGTAACATGGTTAGAGTGCACTCACCCCCCTCTAAAGAAAGGCCAAAACTATGTTAAAAGGAATTAAAGGCACTGTCATCACTTGTGCACCAAAAGACTGTCCCAGTGGCCTCTGAACAGATTCTAATTAAATTCGAGGGTGAAACTTCACAGAGCCTCTAGTTAGTTTATGAATCCTCTTCTAATCCCATCCCGCTTCACCTCCTCTTAAATAATAATTTCTGGGAGTATCAAAGTTGCAACAGGCCTCCCTTGTAGATTCCTCCTCTCTTTCAAGGAAAGAAGCACGGCTGACCTAGCGGAAGAAGAGTACTGTACTGAAGACCCAAATGAACGTGAAAACTGTCTAAGTCTGAGCAACTGCAGTGACTAGAAAAGAGAGACATGCAGGTGGTCCCATATAATGAAAGAAAGTAATAGGGCAGGGAGGTGCGAATGTGGGTAAGAGAAGATGGAGACAAACACCTACTGACATAGTCATCCACTACCTAAAGGGATCATTACAAGCAAAATGTACAGTGAAAGGGAACTCTTCAACAAGGCTTATCTGAGAGAACCTGACACAAAACTCAAAGCTGAGCGGGAGACACCTTGGAAGTCTGGGCAAATGGAGAGAGTTACCAGTGCTACAGAAATAACAGCCAATGGGAAGAAATGTCTCAAACAAAAGGCATCTGAGCAAAGGTGAAAGTTATTATTTAAGCATAAGGAGAAAAGAATCTAGTTTAGATAGAATAACATTCTCTAAAACACAATAATAAAGAAACAACACAAAACAATTGGTCTGCCTAAATTAAATTTCATGGGTCTGTAGGCTTTTTGATAGCAGTAACATTCACAAGGAAACACTAAAACTGAGTCTGTAGATTAAAATTATGAGGTAACTGGGGATGCTGTGAAATGACTACATCAGGAAACCACGAAAAAAATACAAAATACTTGAAAAAAAGTTAATGTCTACACATTTAAAAAGATCAGCCGACATCTGTGGTTGGATCAATGTATGTTATGGATAATGTGAAAAATGGCTTGAATATCTCTAAGAACTGCCCAAAGATCCTATTTTCCAGCCCAACCTAGCCTGTTGGTGAGAGACATCTCTCATTTATCCAGACAAAAAAAGACAGTAATCACATTGGTCATCCGATACTTATTTGTACTGAAAAAAACATTGGTTAGCAAATAACATCAGGAAATGGAATATTCCAGATGACGATCTTTTCTGGTTACTCTAAAACTTAATTCTGTGCATTTTCCCTCTTGTGACTGTTGGTTTTACACTCAGAATTGAGTGAAATCAGCACAACACTCAGCAAATTATTAAACCTGAGAGTTTCTCTGATTTGAGTAAATTACATGACATTTATGAAGCTTCTAGAACAGGACACATGGTCAATACTTAAGGAAATATTAGTTCCCTTACTCTTTTCCTTCTCTCTTACTTCTGCCAACCATAGCTTTGCTTCTTCTTTTGCAGTTTAGGAACCAGGAGCTGTGTTTTCACATGCAATCAGCCAATTTCCCAAAAGAATGCAATGTTTCTTTGTTCTGTTAATCATCTGATCAAAGAGTTTTAATTAGAGGACCCCTCTAAAAACTTACTGCCTTAACTTTTTCTCTTCTCGGCTTAATTTCTACTGAGGAATCACCAAAGTCAATCATAGTTTCTATGAGAGCCCAATGTTAAGTGCAGCACTATACTAGGAGAGAGGGATACAGAATTCAATAAAATATGGTTCCTACTTAGGATGGTTAATTTTATGTGTTAACTTGACTGGGCAATGGGATTCCCAGACAGTTGTTCAAACATCATTCCGGGTGTTTCTGTGATGGTGTTTTGGCATGAAAATAACATTTAAATAGAAGGACTTGAGTAAAAGAAATTGCCCTTCACAGTGTGGGTGAGCCTCATCCAGTCAGTTGAAGGCCTGAACAGAACAACAGGGTGACCCTCCCCCAAATATGAGCATTCTCCTGCTTGATGACCTTCAAACTGGAATAGCTGCTCTTCCAGCCTAATGGCATGTGAAGTGGGAAACGGGTTCTTCCTTGTTCTACAGCAGACCATGGCCTCTAGACTCAAAGTGGGACATTAGCTCTGCAGAGTTTGGATTTGGCCAGCCTCCTCCATAACCACATAAGCCAATTCCTTAGAATAAATCTCTCTCTAATAGATAGATTTAGATTTAGATATAGATAGACATAGGTACATAGATCCTATTGGTTCTACTTCTCTGGAAAACCCTGACTAACACACTATCCTCGAGAAGCTCAAAATCCAGTCATGGGGATATACCCAAGTAAACCTTCTCCATGAAGCCTTTCCCAAACAATGACACAGAACACTGTACTATGAGCCAAATAAACCATCAAATAAAGAAACTATCAATAAATGTTCACTGAATAAATTAGAAGTACTTGAAAACAAGACCTGTCAAGGACAATATCAGACCATGTAATTCATTCCCCCAAGAATTCTCATAAAGAGAGTGATCTGGTGTCAATTTGCAACTAAACTTGCCCCTTTCCTGCATATGCTGAATGAATGAGATTTCTCTGCTTTACGAGTTAGTTACTGTTATTTGAAGCAGGTCATTGGGAATAAATTTAAAACAGGGAGTGCAGTTATAAATTAGTTCATTCCCCTCACAGTGCACAGTACAAATAAGAAGCAAATAAGCTCACTTGAATGGCAGCCAAGTTCTTCTGCTCCTGAGATGGTGCCTCATGAACAAAGCGAAGCCAGTTGGAGTGTCGTGGGTTAGTGGCATCCAATATGTATAGAACTTCTCCCTTACTCCCACGAACCTGAAACATAAAAAGCTCCTGAGTTTGTACCTGAAGTCAGTATTAGTTATACTAAACATACTAAGAGTAGGATATGGTATTTTTTTCGTAAGTATATGCCTTTCTTATTGACAGGTGTTGAAAAGATGCTGGATTAACATCCATTCTTCCCCTTAAACATACGTACAAACAGAGCCTCCTATTTTATTTGGCAGATGTCTAGATGACTCACAATTGCAAGCAACTCTCAGAAACATCCTGTGTTGATAGCTCTTTTCTGGTTAAAATTATTTGTTTGTAGGTACATTTTAATATGTGTTGCAACTGCAATCACTCAGGGGATAACCGTAATTGCAACCTGTCCCCTTTTTTTCCACAGAAGAGGGTGATATCGCTTGGTTCCCAGTTGAGGGGGGTGGAGCTGGAGCAATCCTTTCAATTTCTCTCTCCACCTGTTTACTGAATCATTTCCATATGAGGAGAACTTGCTAATGAAACCAGTGGAAGCTGACATCCACTGAGCCACATTTTCACAATTTTAACTAGTTGATGAATAAAACAGGTTCCATTTTGTCTTTTCACGGCCTGTTCATGGCCTGCTGAGGACAGTGGGCCCTCTGCCTTTTGTTTCATGCCATAAAGCCTCCTGGTCAGACCCACTCAAGATTCAGTTGGAGGGAGGGAGGTAATTGCCAAAGTAGTGGGTAGTCCATTGGACATTCTTGAATCCAAGTTGATTCAAATGGAGCTTCTCCAAAGCCCCCACACTGAAGGTTATCAGGCACTGCTCAGTTTAATAATGCATATATCAATCTCCAACCAACTCACTCTGTGTTTATATTCAATTAGAATCTAGGGGAGGAGCAAAGAAGGAATGAGTACCACTACAGATCTCTAACACCAAATGTAAGAACATAAATTCACCTTTGCAGACTGGGGGTGGGGATAAACAAATTCTACATTTCCAAAATCTTATTTAATAAAACACAGCACAACCAGACTACTAAGGTATGTATTTTCATGATACATTTGGACAATCATGCATTCCCTAGACATAATCTCTTGAGTTCCTACCATGGGCCAGGTACAGCTTCAGGCTCTGAGACTCTTTCAGTGAACAAGATGGATGAAGCTTAACGTCGCAGCACTTAAGAACAAACAAGCATAGAATATAGCTTCAGGTAAAGAGAAGAGCTGTGAAGACAACTAACGCAGAGCTAGAGGAAGGAGACTGAGGAGGGCCGAGCAATCTCAGAGGAGAGGGTCAGGCATAGCCCGTCTGATGAGGTGACCTGAGAAGAGCTCTAAAGAAAGCAGGCACCGGCCAGTGGCCAGCGGAGGGCTGGAGAGAGTGCTCCCAGGAGGACGGAACAGCACAGAAAAGGCAAAGAGAAAGGCCCTGGGAGTAGAACAGAAGGAGCCACCAAAAAAATGAGGGGCATTCAGATCAGACTACACAGGCCCAGGCACACACTGATGTACAGACTAGAAAAGCCATCTACAGAGGACACGTTACCCCCAAAAACTTACATAGAAAAATCTGCTACCCGCACTGCAAAAACTTTTATGTCAGGATTTTAGCATCTATTGTCCAGAAGAAATAGTTTGCCTGTTCCTACTACCTTATACATTCACTGCCATGTTTCTCGAACAATCCCTGTTTTCTTCAATGCCAAAGCATCCTCAATAATCATTTAAAAATCTCGCTAATGAGATACCAGACCAGACCTCACTGAGGAGGAATTTATTATTTGATATTATAATTGCTAAATTATAAATCTGAAATTTGATATTATAATTGCTAAAAGAAGAATTTAGGACTATAAACACCTACTATTTATCTCTCACATGTTGAGGTGTGAAGCTATGGGAATTTGTAACTTCTCACTGAAAAAACCTCATGGTGAGAAGATCTCCTTTGGGAGGCACTTGAAAATTGTACTACGTTCCTGCTTACCCCTCAAGGCGGTGCCCACTGCCTCACTGCCCACTGATAGATACAAAGGACCCTCTATACCTCTCCTCAAAGAGAACATCAACTCACCTCTCTTTAAGCAGAGTAAATAAATAATATTAAATATCTGGGTATAAAGTCTCCTTTCCTCCACAGACACAGTAACAAAACTGCTTTATTGACAAACAGTTAAATTCAACAGAACTAACGGCAATGCCATTAGATACTTGAAGGAAAATTTTTTCAGAACCAAAATTTAAAACCTCCAACTGTTAGGCAGAAACTAGACTCTAGCAGTAGAAGGAATACCCCAAGGCAGAGTCCCAAATCCTTGGAGGGGAATGACGGAGACAGGAGCTGGAGGCAAGGACGGTGATAAATAAGCTACACATTAAAAGCCCCACGGGCATGACATCCTGACCTTCTGGCTTCCAAGACCTTGGGGCGGACAGATCAAGAGCCACAGGTGCAGAGCAGGCCCTCTCTTCCTCCACCTCTGCCCCAGGGTAACCCCTAGGCTCATTATAATGCATTTGCATTAATAGTACAACCTCAACATCCCTTCCCCCACCCCCTTGCAAAGCCTGCCTTGACTGTTCTGGTACAAACTTTGTAAGGTCAAGAACTCCCCCTCCCAACCTGTGGGAGGAGTTACCCAAATGACTGGAAGCAGCCTCCTTTAGAGACCACCCCACTGTAAGTCACGGCTCCTCCCCACCCAGAGAGACCTTATAATACCCAAATCCCAAAACAACCTAGGGGCAGGTTCCACCTCTCAGAATCTGCCCCCTCTCCCACCTTGAGAGTATTCATTCCTTTTAATGAACTCCTTTGTGCTTGCTACTTTCCTTCTGGCTGTCTTGACTGGAGTGCAGATCACCACATAAATCTTCTGAGGAATCCAAGGACTGAGACCTCCATTCACACAACAGACTCTCTCTCACCCATAACACCACTAGTGTTGAAATCCACACAGTCCAGCTAATTTTATGTAGGGAAACACCAATGGCTCTGTCAGTGACATATCTCAGTTTGAGACGACGGCACTACTTACAGAAACTAGTCAATGGCCCTTCTAAGTCATACATTTGTCGCCTGGTATTAAGTACAGTATATATCAGATGTGTTTGACATTTGGAATTCTTTCTTCAAAGATGTGAAATATAACGAAGATTTCTCCCTGATTTATAGTAAGCACATTTTACCAGGGGCATTGTTTGTTCTTTGTATATTTCAGCTTTCTCCCAGGCCCTTTCGCTCCAACTATGTCCAATTATTCAGTATTAGTGACTCATTTCCAGTCCATTAGATGTAAGCACTCTCTGGTTGTCAATAACCTCACATCATATTACACCTTAAGAAACAAGCACAGTTTAATTTCACATTAAAATTCCGATGATACCTGTCACTTTCAATACATCCAAATTTATTTTTTTAAAGATCTTATTTTTTTTTATTTATTTATTTATTTATTTATTTGTCAGAGGAGAGAGAGCGACTACAGCAGGGGGAGTGGCAGGCAGAGGGTGAAACAGGGTTCCCGCTGAGCAGGGAGCCTGACTTGGGGCTGGATCCCAGGACCCTGGGTTCATGACCTGAGCCGAAGGCAGACACTTAGCCAACTGAGCCACCCAGGTGTCCCTCAACACATCCAAATTTATATATTGATTCACTTTTACTTATAGCCTCATAACAACACTATCATAGGCAGTAATGTACTATAGTTGCTTACATATTCATAGTTGAAATAATTTTCTTTGGTCATTAACAGACCCACTGTCTGTTTATTTTATTCTAAACACCTTTACCCAAATGACTTTTCAGTTCCTTCACAATCTTTGCAGGCTACCTGTCTTCTCCAACTTTCAAATGCTTCATTCCCCTCTCCCAGTCTTCAACACTTCACTGAAACTCTTAGATTACCTGCACACATAACTTGTATCTTCCCACCCTAACCACAGCATTCTCCTCATGAAATATCTAAAAGAGACATTCAAAGATAATCTAAGCCATCCTTCCTCTCCAGAGAAACCATGTAAAAACTCTCCAGACAGATGGCTACTATTAAAGTCTCCATTTATCTATTTTTAATTTGATACTGAACCCTGAGGTAATAAATTGAACATTTTTAAAGTCTAACAAATAAAGAAGATATTCCTCTTGGTATCATGTTCTAGCCATCTAAGCTCTGCAGCCAAAGTGTATTTTTTTCCCTGTCAAAACTGGTCTTCCAAATACCATCATCTTTTATCTGAATTTTCATGAAAATGAAGTGTATTGGTTACTGTCCTACTGAGGATTGTCTTCTGCATGCCTGGGGGCCTGTAATGAAGTGAATGTTCTCCTCTTGCAGTAAAAACCATCTCAATCCCAAACCCTGTTTGATCTGCACAGACTTCCTAAGCCAGTTACACACACAAAAAAAATTAGCTAAGGTGGGGAAGGTTAAAGAATCCCTCATATAAAAATGAAAATATTCATATTTCCATATAGCTGTTTATATGTCTATGAATTTGCCACTTAATATTAAATGTAAATTAGAACTGTGTAGGAATTTGGCAGGTTCTAGTCTCTGTTAAATGCTACTGACATCACTTTTGAAGTGTCCAAGAGAACGTGCTACTATGGATCTGTCCCTTTTTTCAGACCAAAGATTAGTAGTACTAAATATAAGTCACACTTGATTTTGCCTTCCCACCCAGTAAAGAACAGAAGATATCACACACACACACACAAAATTCAGCTCAATAAGAAAAAATCCTAACTTGTTTTTTTTTTTAAAGATTTTATTTACTTATTTGACAGAGAGTGAGAGGGAGAGAGCACAAGCAGGGGGAGTGGGAGAGGGTAGAGGGAGAAGCAGGCTCCCCACTGAGCAGGGAGCCTGAGGTGGAGCTCCATCCCAGGATCCTGGGACCATGACCTGAGCCAAAGACAGATGCTTAACCAACTGAGCCACCCAGGAGCCCCCTAACCTATAAATAAAAGGAAAAAATTGGCAATAGGTAGCCAGTACAAATTTTATTTCCTTAAATATTTTCTGTGTTAAATTGGGTCAACTATAGAC